TGGGCATTGTACAATCGAGTCCTTTCTCCCGAAGAAGTAGCTCAGAATTATGCAGCTCGGGTCCCGAACAGCCCGCCTATCGTCCAGGATGCCTCTCACGTGGTACAAGAAAATGGTGAAGTAGGCTCGCATTACGATACACCTGAGTTCTACCTCAGTCCTGTTCCTGTAGACGAGCTTGTTAGCCTTACTCTCGTGGTCCTGGATGGAGATCACGACCCTTCCAGTCCCAACTACAACGCTTCGGCTTCGCCGATCACATTTCCGGGCCTTTGCTTGGCAACCCTCCCCGCCAACGGGACGCTCTATTTCATGAATGGCACCGCCATTCACGGATCGTTGCCGATCGCCTTGGCCGTCGAATCTCCACGCGGAAACGGCGCTTCTTTGAATGGCACCTTTACCACTCAGCTGAGATTTAGACCAGGCTGGAAGGAAGTGTCCTGGCCTCATACCTACACAACCTTCGAGGTCTTCGCTGTGGATGGTGTCACAGGCCTCGCCAGCAATACAGCCACAATTTCCGTGTACGTCAAAGCCGTGCATCAAATTCCTATCGCCGGCAACGGTTCCAATCATACCAACAACACTTCTAATGTGTCGCTGGTGGCAATGGCGGCCAGGCTTACGGCTGTGGCGCTTGAAGGGATCGCATATGGGGGATTTCGCATTGTTTCAGCTCGAGTAGCCTCACTGCCGACTCACGGCTACCTGTATCGAGTAAATGATACCAATGCTACCTCGCCTCTGATCGTCGGAGATGAGATCTTGACCGCCCCTGCGATGCCAGCACAGGTCGCTTACTTCTTTACAGGTCCACAAACACTACCCCAAGCTGCCAAGGACAACAGCACTAGTCGCAGCGCGGATACCACCTCACACAGTATGCTTGGGAATGATTCCTTCACTTACACGGTCACCGATGACTTCAACACCCAATCGATTCCTGCGCTCGTCAGGATTCTGATCACACCTTCACTTGTAGCCTTGCCAGCCCTCCCTTGGCCAATTGTACAGGAGCATACTCTGACTCCGATCACATTATTCGGTGCAGACTACCAAAGCGTACAACGCCGTGACATATGCTTTGAGATCACACGCTTGCCACACCATGGCACTTTGTACACGATAGCCGCGAATGGAACGGTCAGCTCCTTGGACTCCGTGCCGTTCCAACTACCGGAGCAGACATCGAGCCCTCCCTACGACGTGGGTGTTACGCTCCATTACATGTCTGACGCTGGTTTTTTTACATGGCCAAATCGTACGTGGAACGGCACCGCACTGTTTACTGAAAGCGGACTGGAAGACGGCTTTGACTTTTGTGTGGTAGAATGTTTTGCAGCAAAGAAGGGTCAACTTGCCGCGTCACTTCCTTCAGAGCAACAGATTATAGTTCAAAACGTTAACGATCCTACGCAAATCATCGCACCTCCAGCTATGCCATTTTCAGTGCTAGGACTTGGCGCCCTTGATGACGACACTGGTACAAACGAGCACAATGAAGACTCTCAAAAAGAAGACGTGCTAAAACTCTCAGGTTGGCGTATACTTGACGTCGATAAAGATGTAGATCCAACGTTAGTCCACATCAGGGCATTTTACGGCATCGTGCGCCTAAATCAATTATATTTGTCCCTCGCAGATTTTACCTCACTTAGATGCCAAAAGACTCGCGAGAATAACAAAAGCAGCATAGCTGCGGTGGAAGGGTCCTCTCATCTTTTATCGAATTGTCAAGGAAGCGGTGAGGACAGATTTATGGCGTTCGTGACTACGCCCGGTCACTTAAGTCTGCTGTTAGAAGGAATGGAATATCGCTCTATTGTCACCAATGTAGTTGACACTGTGAGTGTGACGATATACGATGGAAAGACGCAAAATGGTGGCCAAGATGGCTGTTTAGCCAAGCACGCTTTCAACTCCACATCTCTTCTGAATAGTTGCTGGGTGACGACAGCAAATTTGACCATTGAAGTGGGCTCCTCTGCATTGTTATCCCACTTACAATTCTCAAACAGTAACGAGCGTCTGCCTGTTACTTTATGGTTTGCATGCGGAGGGGGTACATTATTCATAATCCTAGCTGGATCAACATTCATTTTGATGCGACGTAGAACGATGTCTGCATGAGAGGGCCCGGGGCTGAATATGAAGTGTATGACAGAATCATGTTTGATCGCAATTGGAATTTGATGTGAGGGGCCAAAGTAGGATAAAAATGGCACACATGTCAGACGAATTGGTACCTTGACTCAACCGGATATGGCACTATTCCGCCGCACTTTCTCTATATGTGCAGATAAATCGCATTCTTCGACAATTTCATCGAACACACATGTTGGGGCCTCATCCTCAATAAAGCACACTTTACATATCACTCTTTTCAGTTGTTTTGGTGTTCTCGTTTGCATGCGCTTTCGTGACTTCGCAGTCGGCCTTTTTTCTCCTCCAATTAAGGATCAAGTATGATTCTCATATAAGTAGCTTCTTCACATGCTTCTACGTATAGAATGGACCGAAACATCGATACCGTGATAAGTGTTTAATCTCTCATGGAATATCTGGTGAAACGGTGCACCACAGTGCCCTTTCGACTTAGACCCGACATTGAGAAAATCCCTCCTCCTGGCAATCGGACGCCAAAACGTTTCATAATCATTTTTACATGACACTTATTTATGGTCACTGTTTGTTCAAAGAATTACATCATTCCGCTCTCGACGGGACGGCAAGAGGGAGCGCATGCTGTGAACAAGAGCAATGCTGCCCGTGACGTACACGAACAGGGCTAATGCGGCTGCTTGGCTGTGACAAGCGAGAAGTCAAAATGGTAAAACAATCAAAAATCGCGCACTACTTCAAACGTTTGAATGTGTCTTCGGATGCGAGCACTCATACATATCTTTGGATGCGCTCCCAGTTACCCTTTTCGTTATAAATTACCCCAGGAGGTTCGCCGGGTGCGGGACTCTCTCCATGTCCCCCCTGACATGGCAAAGTGGAGGGTGTTTTTTCTTCTACTACTTGGCGTGACTTCCACTCGCAGCTTCCGTTTCTTGCCGGTTAGATCCCCATCATCTCCTGCGCTCCTTCCGTCTTGCTGGGCGATCGCATTATCGCGAACGACTTTAACGCCTCTTTACTCAGACGCTTTCTTCAATTTTGAAGGCCTTCAGAAGCGACTGAATTTGACGCATTTCGATGATTCTTCTCAGCATAGCCCTCCTCCACTGCGCCCCAATCCACAAGAAGATTTCGTAAATCGACCTGATTTAGTTAAGGCGCGGGAAATTGCTGATAAACTCGCCCCGGAGTTCTCGTCGCACGACAAGTATCCGACAGTTGTCATCTATTTTCATGTAGCAGCACACCACCTGCAAAGCTGGCGAGAGGCTCTATTTTATTTCATTATAGCACAGAAGCAGATAGAAAGAGATGAGGAGGTATTTTGGGAAGCGTTCCAGCACGTAGGGCTTCCACCCGAAGTCAAAGACATCAATTATTTAAGTAGGCAAGCAGGGCGTGTTCCCTCCCGTTCCCGCCTGGCGTTATGCGGGACATTTGCGAACACGAAGGCAGAAGAGCGGGCAAAGCACGCGCTTTCTCAATGGCGATCTGATCTCAATGCCCGTTTGATGGCTTATCGCTTACAAGGCGACGATGTAAGAGATGCTGTGGAGGTCATGCCCATGAGTCAAGCTGTTTACCGACGTATACGGCCTTCAGGACCCCCGACGCAGCCATCGCAAATCACTTCCTGTTCGATTTCACCAGAGTCGACATTTCTCCTTTCCTTTTTACAAGCAAGTTGGTCCTCTGAGCGCAAGATCCGTCGGCATTTGGATCGTCTAGATAAGTATCTGGACGAAGTGACAGGGTCTGCTTCTACGCGCGGAGGACCGGCTGAGCGCGCTGAATTGTACATTGATCCCTCCTACCCGAGCGCACATCGGATTTGGCATCAGTTCTCAGACAGTAACGCTATGGTGGCATGCTTAAGGAAAGACTACGCAAATTTCTTAGAGGGTGGCGCTAAATTTCGAGCACGCGTTAATCATGTTGAGCAGGTTTTTGCGCCGGTTGGATGCGCAATCTCCCAAAAAATGTTTCCACCTACCTTATCAAGACGGCTTTCATCCTCCTGCTACATGCCCTTGGTGGGTTATGGAACGCGGGTCTACCGGGGGCGCGAGCGAGAAGGGACGTTGACGTTGCTCGACGCTGTCCGCACGGCCTTGCGCGCGGGATGCCGACTGCTCGACTGCAGCCCAGATTACGGTACTCAGCCTGAAGTCGGAGAAGCATTGCGTCAAATGTTTAAAGCGCATGAGACACAACGCGAGCGGCTCTTCATAGTGAGCAGTCTGAGCATTGAAGTAGCGATGAACCATGGTGATGTGTCCGAGGTCAGTACGCATGTGAACGAGTCAATCCAGCAGCTACATTGCGACTATCTCGATCTACTTCTACTACCGTACATCATAGACAAACAAAGACATATTGCTGCATGGAAAGCTATGGAAGTGTTGCTGAGTGAAGGTGTGGTGCGACACATAGGCGTCGGAGGCTTTCCCCTGTCTTCATTGAAAGCTCTATGCGAGGATCCCACTTTGACATGGCAACCCGCGGTTTGTCAGCTAGAGCATCACCCTTTTTATCGTCCCGATTCTTTGGTAGAGTTCTGCGGGGAGCGTCACATCCAATTACTGGCGAACACCCCACTTGGCCGACCAGCACTCTCTCGGCCACCGGGCCAAAATCCTCTGAAGGAGCCTTTGATTGAAATGTCGTCTACAGCGCTTGAATGTAGCCCTGCACAAATTGCTCTGCGATGGGCAGTGCAGCAAGGTGTGGCTGTTATCCCGAACTCTCTGTGTCGCACTCATATTCTAGAAAATTCTGATCTGCATTCTTTCACGTTAGCTCCTTTTCGAATAGAAGTGCTGCACGAAATGGCAGCAGTTCGTAACATGAGCTTTACTGACGGTTCTTCTGTCCGGAAGGGAGAAGAGAGAGCGCCTTATACGTTAGAAGAAATAAGGGCCCATGGATTTGTCTATGATGATGGCGGTACCTTGATCGCACCGGGAAACCCATATGAGTATTTGCAGCTCACAATCGATGTGTTCGAACGATTGGACTTAAGCGATGTTCCGGAACTGGCTTTAGCGCCCCGAGAGATAGACGGGGCATTCCCAGGCATGGATGTTGAGCCGATTGAGTGCGATGAAGAGATCACGAACGAGCAACCATGAAAATAAAGAGTTTGCGAACGAACGATGTTACATGCAAATATTGTCATTTAGCTTAGGTGAATTTGTGACGTTACTTCTTCATCGTGTACATTCCATAATGACTTTTCCCACTTCAACGTTTTCACACGCACATCACCCTTTCCGCTGTACATGGCTAAAGAGCGAGATTATATTCCCGCAGAAACATACTTGTACGTGGACTAGGACGCTGATGTTGACGTTACTAATGTGTTTTTGTCAGATCATATGAAATGATATAGCTGGAATTGATCATTTATTTCATCATTTCCTTTATGTACCTTGATTGGAGCGTTGTACTTCGAAATATTTGAAACGCTTCTAGTTACAGCAATCCCAAGCGATTTTGCCTTAAGAGACGTATCTGACCAGTTCAGCCTGCTGATGGTACGCTGACATGACTCGTTCAAAAATCCAACTCTCGATGGATTATGTTATAACTTGTGCGTGTTTATGGGATAGCGTACAATTTCGAAGGCGTTTTAAATTGCACACAAAAGTCAGACACGACAAGTCGCTACCAAGTGAGTTCGATACCGAACAATGTCATGTAGCACTCCTCCTCTGTGCCGTCACAATGTCAAATTCATCAATTCTATTTCAGGTCTCTCCTTACCAAGCCCTCTAATGTGGACCACCACAGCGACAAAAGGCGCTTCATCCGAAAAGGCGACAATACTTGTACTGTGACTTTTATAACTTTAAGCGGCATCAATACATTCTTTCCCTGAAATACTTCTATTCTAATTCTCGGCTCCAAAATGCAGCTCCTCCAACTCGAAGGGCCCCACATCTGCGTCTGCCGACGGCGGCTCTGAGGCATCTTCTTCCCCTTCCTCCATATTTTGAGACGCTTGAGATCCTGACAAAGAAGATACAATCGAGCGAGCAGGCGATATAGTGCTAAAAACGTCCTCAACTTCCTTGAGACCGTCGAGGATTGACACTGAAGAAGCTGTTGTCGCTGCTGTGGACGGCGTCACACCATGGCACACAATAGGACCCTCCATTACCCCCTTCGCGAAAGCGTCACCTATGTTCGCTTCCGCCACTGGACCTTTTATTGTAGTATGTGCTACTTCAACGAGGGTCCCTCCCTGCATCGCGGGCAAGGGGGCGGAGTGGCCTGTGTGCTGCACCGAAGGTGCGCAGAGGCCGTCCTTTTTTGCAACTGATCCTGCACCTGTTTTATTTGCCAGTATCGAAAGCACCATCGAAGATCTTGAAGTTGGGCTTTTCTCTGTTAATCCTTCTAGAAAAGAGGTGTGTGCCTGCGACCCCTGAGTACTTTCAGCCTGCAAACCCGCGGCCCCCACTCCGACTGTGAGGGAACTTGAAGGCGATGCAAAGAGTTTGAAACCACCAGCCAGTGTTCCCATACGCTCTCGCATGGAAGAGGAAAGGGCTCGTCGATCGTTGTATCTGTCGCCGCCAATTGAGCGCGCGTCGCCGTCATCCACGGAAGGCGGGGGCAAGGTCAAGTGCGGGAGGCTCTCTAGGAAGAGCGGATTAGGCTCCGACGAAGACATGCGAGGCGCGGAGGGGGTAATGCATGAGTCTGAGAACGTCCTGGTTATCGCGGGCCGTGTCACTTCCACTGGTGCAGGTGACACATGAGCTACGTTGACCGCACACGAAGGACTGCTTGTCTTGCGCTTGTCGCGACAGTATCCACCTTTCGATTCCCAAATATACCTGGCACTGATTGTCTGCGAAACTGTCTGAGACAAACGAAGGATTGTTAGGGGACAAGATAGACGCTTGTCCGGTACTTGTTGCTGCGTGAAGGTATCCGCCTGCCCCTTACTCGGAGAAGGAGTTCGATCCACGCTCATGGTATGGCAGACAACGCTTGATTTGACAGCCAGAGATGTGTTTTTGTCCAAGGGTTGCCTTCTTAATTACACACAATTCTGAATTATACTTCTATTTGTGTTGATGTTGATATTATCTTCCAACCCTCAAGTACAAGGCGGCAGCAGTGAAAATCTTGAGCCTTCGCGTCCAGGGAAGGACTGTGGTTGCTTTGAATTTCCTGCCCAAAGTTACGCTATCACAGCGAATTAAACACAGAGAATGCTGCTATACACGAACTCGCAACTTGTGCAACTGCTTTTCAGGTGTAGCCCCGCTGTCACAATTGAATTCCGCCACTCCGCAAGTCGATGTCCTCGATAGTGACATTTTTGGAGCTGCTCCTGCTCGTGAACGCGATCATCAGGTCAAGGGCCATCTTTTTTTAAAATAAATTTGATGTGTATGACAGAAGTGCTGTACGTTATGTTGTGTTCAGAGGTGGCAGTCAGATCTTTGCGGAGACGCTAACGCCTTCATGAGAGAGAGGGCACCATCCTGTGAGTTCTTCAAGGCAGAGGGAAAAGGACGCGCGCCAGAAAGAAGAGGCGACATCGAGGCCCCCGAGCTGTCCCGACGAGGGAACTCCTCGCTTTGAGGCCCCTCACACATTGTAGCATGTTTGGATAATCGAGTTGGTGTCTTGCGCACCGTCCAGCGAGGTCCGAAATATCGAAGAACGAGCCTGTCCTGTCTTAGGTTTCGCTTCCTTCTCGCCAGCTGCTTGTGGGCTGTGCGGTGAACCGTCCGCTACTCTGTTCCCAGGAAACATGTGAGCTCCGCGTACTTCGTTTCTCCTCCCAGGGGCTTACGACTGCAAAGCCCCACTTACGAGGATGTGCTCTGACTGTGTCTCTTGATTGAGTGTCTGCCTGGCTCTGAGCCACGTCCTTGGAAAGGCCCGTATGGCTCGGCCGCAGGCACCGACTGCCCGCCTCAAGAGAATCCACACCCGGGTCAGGTTCGATGGTTGAGGCGCGCGGCCAAAGGTCGTGTGTGCTGAAAGCCACTGCATTGTATACATGTTGAATGTGCTCTTTTTTAAATCAATCAACGACCAGAAGTGAGGACACGTGGGTTGGAGAATGGACAATTTAATGATCAATGCCCCCCCAATGCACCTCGCGTAGGACCGCAAGTATGACGTACGCATGTTCTCTACCTGCGTACTCCACTGATTGAAACACAACATTTGGAACCATAAGCTTTTTTTGTAAACAACAATCGTCGTAGAGATACATAAATCGTTGAATAACCACATAACATGTGCAAAAGTGCGTTTTTGGATACTAGAGGACACTCTGCCTGGGGCACAAGGTTGCGGCTTCCCCCCTAAATGATGCTTGTGGACGTTGCCGAAGCGGACCCTTCTCCTCTGTTACATGTGTTTCTAGTGCATGCCCTCAGTCAAGCACTTCTTTACTGTACTCACATGCTTTATTGTCGATGCTGAGGATTGCCTTTGGCCAATTCTTTCCGTAAAGTCGAAAAGGTTGTGGCTCGCGGGAGCGGACAATCGGGTCCACGTACTCACACATTTACTTTTCCTATTTTTTGGTGCAGGCGCACAATCCAACCACAAGGACATGTTCAGTATATAGAAATAATAGAAAGATACTTCACACAAAGTGGCCTATCATTCACGGGGAAAAGCCAGAGCCAGGCCGCTAGGTAGGTAAAAACACTGAAAGCTGGATACGCGCCAGGCGAATATGAGATGCTTTGTCGCAATAAAATGATAACAATCCATGGGCATTTTGACGATTTCCCTTTTATACTTTTCAAAATGCAAAGAGATCACTCAGAGTGTCTGGACTGCCCTCCTTGTGCGCAAACTTGCTCCCGAATATGTACTGATTTTCCGATTCGAATTCGCCTTCTGGCGCATGCGCTCACAGACCATACCTGCTAGTATCGTTATCATGGACGCCAACGACCATATTAAATGTTTCACACACTTTACTTGTGAGTTTTCTTTACCTTCCGATCTTTCGGACGAGAGTCACTCCCTTCGAGGAGATATTGTACCGGATGTGGCCACAGAGGCATTCCATGGTGAGCGATACCTCGTTCTTTCCACTTTAATAGCATGTGCATCTTCTACGCATACACTGTGACTTACAAAAATCACTCATATTTTCTCCCGCTTATTAGGAGTTGAGACAGGAGGAGAGGGCAGCAGCATGAAGAATCAAAATACGCAATTGATGCAATCCGGAGATCAAAGCAATCTGATGGACATGCGACATGGCCCCCTGACGGGATCGCCCGATGTAAAAGTATTCTTTCCTGCTTTATCGTCAGCCGTCAATGATGGAAATAAGCCTCAACAGGAGCAGTATAACACGTGTTCGCGCCATTTCCCCCGTCCTGATAAGATATACCAGTGGCAAGAGCCCAACACTTGTCCCACTGCCGGGTCCGGCTCTACATCTCCGGAAGCATCCTCTTCGACGAGTCCTCAAAGACAGGGCACTAAGATGGACGTCAACCCGGACGTTGCGCTTTATTCTTCATCCTCGTCTTCGTCCTCGTTCGCGTCGTCCCCGTCGACGAGTGCTACGAGCCCCGCGTCTAGAGCTCAGGCTCCTGTGGCCCTTCCTGCATCGTCCTCCGTATTATTGGGCTCTTCTCCTTTCCATCCACAGCATTCAGCGACAGCAAGAAGGGACGATGGTCCAATCAATGCGGGCGTGGTGCAGTGTCCGCTGACGGCGACAACTGCCGCACGTCCCGCGACTGGGACGAATACGAACGGTGTTGCGGAGATGGATCTTCCAGGGCAAGATTTGCTTCCCCCCCAGACATTTTGGGAATCACGCAGTCCAACTTGGATGAGCCGAAAAACAGCGCCCGCCTCATCTTTCGTGAAGCAGGCCGCAGCGCCGAACTCCTCGTGTTCCATGCCCTCCTCTTCTTCATGCGCCTCCTCCTCTTCTTCCTCTTCATCGTCTTCCTCCACGTCGCCAACCCTTGAGGGCCTATTAACTCTGAAGCAGACAAGTGCATCGGGACAGGAAAGGAGAGAACTTGTGGCAACTGACGCCTCTATCTTTTCGTCGTCTCTCTCATCCAATGCGCCGCCATGCCACGTGACCCAAGCCTTTGAAATTACCTCTGAGCCTGGGTACAACCCATCTCAACTTCAAGAGACGCCGTCAAACTACC